AAACTAATTTAATTGTAAAAGTTGATGCAATTTAAAAAATCTAATTGTGAAGGGAAATAGACTGAAAACCTAAAAAAAAAGATAATAATAATTATCTCTCATTTCACTTTTGTGTGACCGCAGGGGTGTTAGCTAACAAAATAATATTTGTTCAGCGATCTGTATTTTTTGTGTGACATGTATTAGTTTTGTTAAAAATTTGTGTGGGAGTTATTTCGTTAATATTTCATAAATTAGGGAGAACAAATGTTACGTTTTGAAGATTAGTGAGAATATCGTCACAAGGGTTATAATTGAGGGGAGACTTTTGTAATTAATTCGATTATTATCATTGATAAAGGCAAAGTGAGAACAAGAGTGTAAATACAAGTGATCAAGAGCTGATCATGGGCTAAACAAGCTATTGGGGTTTGTATGGGGAAGAGACATTTTCCCTTGTTCTAAGCGAAAAAGAGTTCCATGTGTCGGGATCTTTGTTGTTTGTAGAATGTAAGATTCTTGGGACTCAGACTTTCCACCACAAATTTTTTTCCCCACTTCGATCCAACCTAGTCTTCCATGGGTGTACTTTCTCCCAAATCATCAACTTAATATAATAATCATACCCATAACCCAATTTACGATAAAAATACGTGTAACGATGTCACATATATATAAAATAGAATATATCTTGTATTATTTTCTATAGAGGAGGGTTTTAATAACCCATTACACAAAAAGGGGTAGACTTTGCTTTGTATTAAACTAATACGCTTGTGCAACCCCACAACTTGTGTTCTCTCCAGCATCTAGAGGAAGGTGCAATATTTTGTGTTGAGAAAATTATTTAAATGGCTGTCTCCAATCTTCGGAAAAGGATAGCCTTAAAACAAGGGCTAACTATAACCCCACTTAGGAAATATTTGACCTCCCTCTCTCTCTCTCTATCACGCATGGAATTGCGGCCACGTCACAAATGTATGTGTATATATATATATATGTGTGTGTGTTATATAGGTATATATATATATATATTTGCCAGATATTATACCCATATGTTTTGTAGGGTAGGTTGTGGTACCATGGTAGGGGCATGTACCTTTCTATAAGGCCTAAAACAGGGATTGGTGGCACGAAGTCCCCATGAAAATAGTTTCAACCTTAGCCTAAACAATGGTGGGGTCACATTTATGATTTTGCCAAGGAGTTCATGAGCTAAATTGAAGTTTGACACTGCCTAATATGCCTATATAAAAAAAAAAGGGAAGTTTGAGACGGAAAAAAAAAGGAGAAAAGTGAAATAAGAATTAAGTCAATAGTAATGAGTTCATGATATTATGATGCACGCCTTTGTTTTAATGCAGTTCTTGATACCCAATCGCCTTACCGCCTTTAATTCTGAACCCTAGAAAACAGACAGAGGCTTGACAAGCAACTCGAGTATAGGTACAGATTAGGCCTAGTCGGCCATTTCTGGCCCAGCCTGTCCTCTAGTCAGGACACCTATATCGCTCATGGCCCATATTGAACAACAGGTTCTCCTTCCCTGGTCTCAATTGGGCCACTTTGGGGCAGTACTGTACAAGGACGGGCCAGATCGCCATGGGCCGATACTTATTATTGTTGGCGAGAATGTAGTACTGAGTAAATATTTCTGTCAGTTAAAAAAAAATTTTTCCTAAATTTTCTTTTTACAGACTCATAAAATATTTTTTCTAACGTAACTAAATTTTTTTTATTATGTAAATTATTTTTTATTAATCGTAAAAACAATACACAGTAAATTATTATTTACTTTAAATAATTTAAAATATATTATTCAATTAATTTAATTTCATAAATCTGTACTACTTAGTGTATTGCGGGTGAATTTAGAGGATACTACAGAAAGTTAGGATTTAAAAATAATTGAGTCTAATGTACACATAAAAACAGTAACAGTAAATAATTAGACTTCATAAGTGGTACGAATCTAATGGAGATATTTAGTGGGTGTACCACGCTTTTTAGCTGTGGATCGAGTAATGCCAGTGACTGTTAAACTCTCACGTTTGCTGCCATGCGGTCAAAAAAATTAAGCTTATGTGACTAAAAATATTCACAAAATAATTAGGGTTTTTTCCTCTCTTACTCTCTTTCACTTTCTCCCTCTCATCTCCTCCTCCGCCGACCCTACTTCCAGATTCTCTCTCTCTCTCTCCCTCCCTCTCTCATTTATCCGCCAGCCCTCCCCACCGATTCTCTTTCTTTCCCTTCTCCCTTTCTCGCTTTATACCTCCTTCTCGCCGACTCTACCGGAGTTGCGGAACCAGTGACAGTGCACAAAGATCTAGTTGCCAAACGTCGCGTGGAATCTGAGCCACTGGTTCTCACTGGTGAGCGGAGGAATCAACCTAATACTGAACCCTAGAAAACAGACAGAGGCTTGACGAACAACTCGATTATAGGTGCAGCTTGGGCCGATTATGCCATTTTGGGCCCAACCCTTCCTCTGGTCAGGACACCTACAGGGCTCCTGGTCCAGGTCGCCCATGGGCCAATACCTATTATTGCATGGAAGAGTACAGTAAATAACAGATTTATAATACAGTTTGCCCGTATAAATGTTTCATTTACTGCTAGTAAAAAAATATTTCGAAGTAAATTTTTTTTGTAATCAATAAAAAGATTTTTTTTCTAAATAATAAAGATTTTTAGCATATAAATCATTTTTTATCGGTCGTAAAAGAAATATTTACACAGTAAACTGTTATTTATTTCAAATAATTTAAAATATATTATTTCCTTAATTTAATTTCATAAATCTGCTATGTACTACAATTTCTGTTATTGCATTGCGGAGGAATTTTGAGGATACTACAAAAAAATTAGGATTTAAATATAATACTTTATGTGAAAATAATCGAGCTTAATGTACACATAAAAGTAGTACCAGTAACTAATTAGACTTCATAAGTGGTATCAACCTAATCGAGATATTTAGGCTTCGTTCGTTTTGCAGATTCAAATTTTTAATTCGAGTTAAAATGTGACATTTTTAAAAATTTTTAACTTGTAGCAGAAAAAATTAGATGTAATATTTTTTCAGAGCTTTTAAATGTAGAAATTTAAAATTAAAAACTTCAATCGGTGAAATGAACAAGACTTGAATAGATGTACCACGCTGTTTAGTTGTGAATCGAGTTATGCCAATGAGTGTTAAACTCTCACCTTTACTGTCATGGGGTCAAAAAAAAATTAAGCGTATGTGACTTGGTTTTTTTTTTTTTTCCTTTCTTTCTCTCTTTCTTTCTCTGTCCCTTTTTCTCTCTCCCCTCTCATCTCCTCCTCGACCGACCCTCCTTCCTGATTCTCTCTCTTTCCC